TTTGGAAACGATACAAAAGAGGCCTAATGTATATGAATATATGTAAATATACATATATTCATTCATAAAACGCACGCACGCACACACGCACACACACACGCATGCACGCACGCACACAAAAACACAAACACACACACACAAAAAAACACACACAAACACAAAAACACACACACACATAAAACACACACACACACACACACACACACACACACACACACACACACACACACACACACACACACACACACACACACACACACACACACACAAAAAAAAATTACACACACACAAAAACACACATACACATACAAAAATACATATTTTACACATTTATATCTGATGAGGACTGTAAAAAAGGCACTGGGTCACATCCACTCCTTGGACATGACATGCCACACACTTGATTTGATGCCAAAGACTCAGGATCAGTAGGGACTGACCTAGTCGATTTCACACTGCAAATGTGATGATGCTTTTGCTGGTGCTCTTTCAACTTATCCCCTCTTGGGAAGGCTTGCCCACATCTTTCGCAAATAAATGGCTTTTCTCCGGTATGTAGCCGCTTGTGCCTTTGTAGGTGATACTGCTTCAAAAACGTCTTTCCACAAAGATCACATACATACTTCCTTTCTGATCCGTGGATTTTCATGTGCTTCGCTAGGTGTGTCTTTAGCTTAAAAGATTTCTTACACACATCGCAAGTGAAGTCCCGTTCAGACTTATGGGTCACTTTGTGTTGCCAGAAAGTCCCACAATTAGCGAAACGCTTCCCACAGACTTCACAATTGTAAGGCCTATCCCCAGAATGCACATTGTGGTGGTCTTTTAAAGCCTCAATCTTATTAAACCCCTTTTCACACTCCGTACATGAGTATTTGTATTGACCCGTATGTTTTGACATGTGGTCCTCGAGCGCATACTTGTTTTCATACCTTACACCACAAACTTCACATATACACGCACACATACCCTTGTGTCTGTTTTCATGTGTCACCCACTTCTGTCTGCCCCTAAACTTTAAGCAGCAATACTTGCATGAGAAAAGTTTCCCTTCTTCCTCATGAGTTCTCAAATGATCTTTCAAGGCATGCTTCTGGCGGTAATTATTCCCACACTTGTCACACACAAAAGGTCTCATATTGTTATGAAGTTTCTTGTGCTTGTTCATGTTACTTCGATTTTTAAAAGGTCTGTTACATATTGGACAGAAATACACTTTTGCCTCCACTATCTGCGAGTCTTGCAAGGTATCTGGTGCCTGCTTGTGACCAGATGTATCTACTGGACCATCCTGACTCTTGTGATTTTGATTTCCTCTTACAGTAACGTTTGAGAGAGAACTTTTTAAGGAAATTCCTGCACACACTGGTTCCACATGCCCTTCCAAAAGAGATTCTGCCTTTTCACCTTCTTCCCATCTTTTACATCTACTTGGCAAACTGAGATCCAAACTCTGACTCTTGCCCTTCCCATCAGCCCCTTTTTTCTGCCGAGATGGGCTGGTCACCTTGACTACTTCGCCTTCAACAGACCTTCTCTGAAAGATGGAGAAGGTTATGTAATACACTTTGCTTGTAACCTTCTCCATCTTCTTTCTTTACACTCATCACAAAAGTAATAAAAACAAAGTAATAAAAAAATAATAATAATAATAATAATAATAATAATAATAATAATAATAAATTACAGTAAACTCTCTTTCATCCAAAATGTATGGGGTTCATAAAACCAGATATTAGATTTTTGTAGCTATTAGAGAGGTACTTATTGGCACTCTGAAACAGTCTGCAATGCAAGCTGATCTCATCTGTAATGTAGGCCACAAACATTTTTTCAAGGTCTTTAGTACAGTAAAAGTTGGTGGCTTGTAGTTTAGGTCATCAATACTCAAGAGGAGCATGATAATTAATACCGACGTTTACTGAATAAAAGGCACGGTGTTAAGGTAAAAAGGCCTTGTCTGATTTACTTTCTGCAACACTGTTTGGTTGTCTGTCTACTATACTGCCTTCATTATTTTTATTTTTCACTGACACTTAATAAAACAAAAACAAGTGACATAACACTAACAAAATTAAAGAGATGGACCTTCATTTCCAAACAAAAGAAAATATGAATTTTTAAAAACCTTTATACCAGTATCATAATTATTCATTATCATTACCCTGAGTGGAACTTGTAGAGTGGAGGGCTGTAACAAACCTGACAAGGAGGGATACTCTTGAGATGTTGCAAGCTAAGAACAGGTCATTGTCCACAAGTCAATTTCTTAATTTTCCTGAACAATGCTCAGTTGTCTGTCTGTTTCTTTGCCTTCATTCTTTCTGTCATCATATTTTTTTTAACAAGGGCAGATACACTTAACACAATTCACTTCATCTCCAGTTGTGAGGGGAAAATGCTAGACAATGTTTCTGAACTTTTGTTCATTCTCACAGGTCTTCAGCAATTCATATGTGGGCATATCATAGCTTGAAAAATCTTCCTTGGACACATTATAAATGTATTCATAATACCTTGAAACATTCCAGCTCAAGGTACTATTCTATGCATTTTAATGACATGTATTCATTACTATCTTTGGGCAAGAAATTTTGTGGTCAACAGTGTTTCAGTTGAGACAAAATCATTAAAATGAGAGTTTACTGTTTTTTCTAATTCCCTCCTTTGTTTTTTCCCATTTGCAAACATTCATTATGCAATTATAGAATCATACTTCTTGTGTGTAGGTATCTTTCTTTTCCTCATGTTCAGATGAAATTTTTACTACTTACCAATTGCCAAACTTTATCATGAAAACAAAGCAATCTTATTTTCATAATTCATAAACAACACAAGTGGTTCTCACAACAAAAGCCAACAATACATATAAAAAACACAGAATTTATTTCACAATATCTTCTCAATTTTCCTCTAAATGTATATCCTAATGATGTACGTCAACTTTTTCCTTCCTTCTTTCTTATTTTCCCTTTGTTTAATAGAACTTGGACATACTCAGTGAATATTTAAAATTCTGCAAGTTCATCTAATTTAAATATGACAACCTAGCTTAAATCACATGCTCTATACACAAAGAAAAGACAAGCAGACATAATAACTCAGCACAACAACGTCTTTTGGCAATAATAAAAAAAATGTGACCTCAATTTGCAAATGGCTGCCAGCAAGCTATATCCTAAATGTCATTAATTTTAATATAATAAAACTAGGCAAGTTTTCATTATGTATGAAACAATGAGAAAAAGGTGGAAACACACAAGGAAGAGGCAAAGGAGGAGGAGGAGGAGGAGGAGGAGGAGGAGGAGGAGGAGGAGGAGGAGGAGGAGGAGGAGGAGGAGGAGGAGGAGGAGGAGGAGGAGGAGGAGGAGGAGGAAAAGAAGAAGAAGAAGAAGAAGAAGAAGAAGAAGAAGAAGAAGAAGAAGAAGAAGAAGAAGAAGAAGAAGAAGAAGAAGAAGAAGAAGATGAGAGTGAGAGTGAGAGTGAGAGTGAGTGGGAGTAGGAGTAGGAGTAGGAGTGGGAGTGGGAGTGGGAGAGAGAGCGAGAGAGGGTAGACAGAGAGAGAGAAAGAGACACAGAGAAAGAATAATAAGAAGTTGGTAAAATGAATTAAAAAAAAGAAGACAGAAAAAATACATAACATACTGCTCTTTCTCCTCAGATCAATTAGAGCTGTTGGATTGCCAAAGAAATACTTCTGGGAGCCCATTACAAATCCGTAAAAGAACAAAGTTTCTCATTACCTTTGGTTTGGAAGCATCTTTCCTGGGTCTTCCTCGTTTTCTTTTGGGAGGTCCATTTGGATCTGCAGAGAGAACATTTCACTTATACTAATACTGACTATGATGGTAATGACGATGAAGAAATAAAATAATCTACGGATAACAATACCAATGACAGCTATACATGTAACATTACTTAACCCAATGGTGCCGGGGAAAATGAAAAAAAAATGGGGAAAATGCTGTGCCCACTTTCTATGTTTTTCGTGAAATGTCTGCCGATAGATGGCTCTGCTAGTGCCTGATTTGAAATGGCGGGAAAAACGTATTTTTCACTAGTGCTATGAAAATCGATGGTGTTATTTTTATCATAAACATTATAATTTTTATAATGTTTTTTAACATTAGTAACAGCAAAATAAGATAACGTAAAATATTTCGTAAATCAAAGAAACGGGTAAACTGGCGAGACGGGCGGTACTCGTAACTGGCTCATTGGGGAGTTAGTACAAGTGTTGCCATCTATGCATAAAAACAATCAAACAAGTACTTACGGTGGGCATAGCACGTACGTATACGTCATACCTGGCACCAATGGGTTAATGTATCCCGTTCTTTCTCTTTCTCTTTCTTTCTCTCTCCCTCTCCTTCCCTCACTCACTCACTCACTCACTCACTCACTCACTCACTCACTCACTCACTCACTCACTCAACTCACGCACTCAACTCACTTGCTCTCACTCACTCACTTGCTCTCACTCACTCACTTTTTCATATCACTCTCTTACTCTTACTAACTCTCACATTCACATTATGACTTTCACTCACTTACACTCTTCACTCACTCACTTACTAGCCTACTCACTTAATTACCTACTCATTTACTTGCCTACTCAACCACTCACCTACTCAACCACTTAACCACCCACCCACTCAATTTCCAATCTCTACTTTAACTCTTAACTCTTGCCTTCCAATGTTCGATCATGCTTAATCATGTTTTTTGACATCTTCTCCGACAGTTACAACCTACTTCTCAAGCAACATGAATTGAATAGGGGGTAAATGCATTCTTCTTACCTCGGCTATTTTCATATATGTTAGATTTTGAATCCTCACAACTATCACATGATATGCAGGATTATAGTGTGTGGGAGGGCCAAAGCAGGTTGTTGCAATCTTAGCAGTGCTTCTGAATGCATTAGTGTTCAAAACATAGGACAATGCAGAGCTATACACCACAATGACATTTTGTGGAGAAACTGTCAATTGCGTGTAACACTTTTATCATGGAGGTTCCTAAAAACCATACACATACGTCTGCAAACATAGGAGAAACTAATATGAAATAACTAATATGAAAGCAAAATAAAATAGAAAATAAAATAAGAACACCAACATGTAATACATGTAGTATCAAAATTTGAAAAATTTATGTGCACTGCTAACAAGAATTACTGAACACATCTACTTTCCAGGCACCAAAACAGGCCGATGCCAATGCACCTTTGCACTCTCAGGTGCTGTTGAGCATTACTGTAGATTTACATCCCAGACTCACTAACTGATAATAACTTGATGCAAGTGTACCTAAAACTAAGTGTCACAATGCATTCCCATTAACAGAGGAAAGAAAGTGGCTAACAGGAAAATATACAATGTCAAAACAAGTTATCTCCTGCATCACTGCCTATCAAGCTTGACTTTTTTTATAAATAAAAAAAAAAAATACAGAGAAATTCAAGGAAATTCTTCACCTAAACACCTCAACCACTTTTATTTCCTTCACAAGAAACCCAGTTGAAAACTAAGATAAGACTGTTGTTGTAAAAGGTGATGATCCTCACCCACTTACTTTTGCAAACCCAGACCTATATTCTCATCACCTCTGCCACACACACACCTCTATGGAAAATATTAAAAAAATGAAAGATAACAAGTTACTCATTGTTATCATTATTGCACAGTGTGTAGACTACCTAGAGAGATGAAGTGAAGTCTGTGTAAGGAAAGCTGTCTAATTACCATCTTGATACAGCATATCAAATGACAAATATAGTTCTTAGAAAATGTCAAAAATCCTTGGGCAGAAAAAGAGCTACAAACATTTCAAAAGGGAAGAAAGAGCCACTCAAGTAAGCCTCAAGCCTGAATTTCAAACCACTTGCAGGCAGCAAATTTACCCAATCCAATGGGTAAATTTGTAAAAAAATATATATACATACATATAATTTCTTTTATTATTACACAATAAAATGTGTAGTTACCACCATGCATAGGTATATATATGTTACTTATCGAGAGGTTACTTTCTAATACATAACAGTATGGTGACAGAAAACATCTAGGGATTAGATTATGAAATAAACTATACAGCATCACACTCGCTATGCATATTTCACAAACGTGGGAAAAATGGGTTTGTCACTAGCTCTGGCACAAGAGGCTCAACCAAAGGAGTGAAACTATGGATATGATATCATGGGGTGTGGCTGAAGGAAGAGACAGAGAGAAATACAGACAGAGAAAGAGAGAGAACGAGAGACAAACATACACCATGCACTTTTCTTCTTGTTGTGAACAAAATAATGTATGAGTCTTTTTCTATTATTCAACATGTATTTTTTTAATCTGTCTACTCTTTTCTCTGCTTCACTTTACACTTACAATGCCATTGACCTCACAATGACACTCAGCAATGAATGCTACTCAATGATGATGAGAATAATAATAATGAAAATGATAATGATAATGATAATAATAAAATAAAAAAAATAATAATAAAAATACCAATAATAATAATAATAATAATAATAATAATAATAATAATAATAATAATAATAAGAATAAGAATAAGAATAAGAATAAGAATAAGAATAAGAATAAGAATAAGAATAAGAATAAGAATAAGAATAAGAATAAGAATAAGAATAAGAATAAGAATAAGAATAAGAATGACAATGACAATGACAATGACAATGACAATGACAATGACAATGACAATGATAATGACAATGACAATGACAATGATAATGATAATAATGATAATAATGATAATAATGATAATAATGATAATAATGATAATAATGATAATAATGATAATAATGATAATAATGATAATAATGATAATAATGATAATAATGATAATAATGATAATAATGATAATAATGATAATAATAATAATAATAATAATAATAATAATAATAATAATAATAATAATAATAATAATAATAATAATAACAACAACAACAACAATAACAATAACAATAACAATAACAATAACAATAACAATAACAATAACAATAACAATAACAATAATAATGATAATAATGATAATAATGATAATAATGATAATAATGATAATAATGATAATAATGATAATAATGATAATAATGATAATAATGATAATAATGATAATAATAATAATAATAATAATAATAATAATAATAATAATAATAATAATAATAAGAAGAAGAAGAAGAAGAAGAAGAAGAAGAAGAAGAAGAAGACGAACAATAACAATAACAATAACAAAAAAAAAACATACCAGGCTCAACAGGCTCCCTCTTGATCTTCGGCCTCTTGAACTCGGGCTCCCACTCTTCATCTTGGACGGTGCGGTCCTCCCGGTGATCCTGCTCCTCCTCCAAAAGGTCTTCCATGCGTGGCTCAAAATTCTCGTCCATTTCCAAACCCAGAATATCTTCTTCCGGCTCAACCTTTGCGGATAGACGAGGAGAGAGTGAGAGCGAAAAGGATCACCAGGTAACAGGTGTGGGGGTTGCAATTAATCTCTCTGATCTGCAAGCCTTTCAGTGGTAGTTCTAGAGGTCAATATCACTCCAGAAAAAAGTCAATCAAATGTACTAACTGCCTAGAGCTTTAATTGAGCACAAAACTGAAAAAGTTATAGCAATTACTCCTCATGTGTGAATGAAATGGGACATTACCAAGAACATGTAGAGGAAAGACACATAAAGAGATAAGACTGTATGAATGGCTAAGGGGAATGAGAAAATTGGGGTGTGATATCGAAGGTGCGGCTAGAGGAATCTTGCCAAACAGTACCAGATATATTAGTGGATATCTCATTTATACTGAAATAGTTGTAGGGAAAGAAGCCTACAAGATTTCAATAGGCCTTTTCAACCATGTTATGTGATAAAGCCCATTCATTATACTGAAGGCCATAACCATAGCAAATAGGATTATAGGGACTAATATTTGGAGTTTGCAGTTTGTTTGGTGTCACATAATGTGTTTTCCCTCTGTCTCAGGTAATGAACAAGTCAGACTGAACTACTTTTTCAGTTCTGCATAAGTAAGTCCAAAACAAGAAATTAATAATAAAAAATAAATAAGTATATAAAAAAATTATCATAATAATAACAAAACGAACACATCCTTAAGTAGTTTCTTCTCCAAAACATAAGAACAAAGACAGGTTAAGCCAGCACCACACACCTTTGGAAACACATAGTCCGACTTCTTGGCTGTTGCTGGTTTTCTTCTCCTCGCCCGGCCACCATAGGCTGTTACTGTCTCTTGGAATTTTGTGATGATCTCCTCCTTGGTGTCTCTGATTTCTACCTCCAGAGCATCTACTTTGTCCAGAAGGTTGAAACATCTTCGACATATAATGTCACTATGAGCCTGAGAAGGAGAAAGATAGTATGTATCAGTTGTTTAATGTTTACCAAGTAAGAGCCCCAATATTAAAAATAATTGTTGAATGAGAAATACAGCAAACACAAGGATAAGGACAATATCTTACAGTAAACTTCTTAGCTATTTGTTAAGGATAAGTAATTCACAATGTTCTGCATGCAAAGCAAAATCCATTTCCTGCCCTCACCTTCCTTGAAGTCAGTTTTTGTCCTACAAGCGTGCCAAGAAACACTGCCATTTTCCGGTGTGTGGTTGATGTCTGTGACTTAAACACTGGTATGGGTTTTTCTGATTCAGTCGTTGCCATCTCTAAATTACAAATCAAGCAATGCTGACTGAGCGGGTCACCCAAGTCATCCCCTTCATCGCCCTCTTCCTCGTCCACAGCCTCTCCGACACCGGCCAACATCCCTTCCCCCTCCACATCATCTTGTGATTTAGACATCACCTGTATTGTACTTTGTTGACTTTCTTCCTCAGTATTAGAAATACTAGATATCACAGGTAGTTCTTGTGTTCCCATGTGTGTTTCAGTCACAGTCTGTAAAATGTCCTTTGTTCTATGGCCTTCTCTTGGCATCACCAACAATGTGCTCATGCCCTGGTCAGTGTCCTGGGCTTGCATAGAGGTGACTAAGGTTGGGTCGAGAGTGGTCGTCTCCAGGGCCGAGGGATCCATGATGGTGATGGTGATGGCCTGGGGGGTCTCGTGGGAGGGCTCCTCCCGCCCCTCCTCCAGCACCTTCCCGTCTGAGGACATTGTGCTGGTTTATCTGCTCCTGAAACAAAAGGTACTTCAGCATACGAAACAAAACAAAAACAAAAACAAAAAAAACAGAAAAAAAAAAATCAGAAAACAAGACTTAATTCCTCAGGCAATAAAAACACACACATATACACACATGGATATGTATATGTTTATGTGTATGTATGCATGTATATGTCTGTGTGTATATGAATGTATGTGTATGTATGTATGCGTATGTATTTATGTATGCGTATGTATTTATGCATGTGTGTATTTATGTATGTATATGTATATATAAATTTGTACATATACACATAATTATGTATATACATTTATGTATGTGTGTGTGTATATTTAGATATTCATATATATCTATATACATATATGTATGCATATACATATAAAGCTAGGTATATATTATATGTATATGTATATGTGTGGATATATATATATATATATATATATATATATATATATATATATATATATATATATATATATATATATATATATATATATATATTATATATATATATTGCCAGATACTAAAAGACAGAAAAGGTTGGAAAACATTGCTGTTATATATGTTTACATACATATATATGTATATTTTTCTAAGCATATATGTATGTATATATGCATAGATATATATGTATACATACATATATGTACACATATATATAAATACATACTTATATATATACATATAAATACATACTTATATATATATATATATATATATATATATAAATACATACTTATATGTGTGTGTGTGTGTGTGTGTGTGTGTGTGTGTGTGTGTGTGTGTGTGTGTGTGTGTGTGTGTGTGTGTGTGTGTGTGTGTGTGTGTGTATACGTGCACGTGTGTACGTGCACGTGTGTATGTGTACGTGCACGTGTGTATGTGTACGTGCACGTGTGTATGTGTACGTGCACGTGTGTATGTGTACGTGCACGTGTGTATGTGTACGCGCACGTGTGTATGTGTACGTGCACGTGTGTATGTGTACGTGTACGTGTACATGTACGTGTGTACGTGTACGTGTGTACGTGTGTACATGTATACGAGTATACGTGTACGTGTACGTGTATACGAGTATACGTGTACGTGTATACGTGTACGTGTGTAAGTATGTACGTGTACGTGTACGTGTACGTGTACGTGTGTACGTGGACGTTAATATTATCCCAGCTGTTCTTTATGTCCTTATTTAAAAGCACTTGTTATGGCAAAGTATTCATTTGAATTGTAATATTTCTACATTAAGTGTTGCACTATATCACGGTATGCTTGAAAGGGAATAAGACATAATGTAAAACCTCAATAGAAGTAACTCTAGTTGAAAATTAGGAGGCACAATTGCATTTGAGGTGAAAAATCAGCCGTACGTTCAATAGCCCATGACAGAACCTCCACAGTATTACTCTTTCTGGGGAATCGTAATATTGTGCAAATACCTTAGCTTTTGTAGCCATAACAGACCTTATTTTCTCAATGTAAAACAGTTCTTTGGGATGTAAGCAAAGCTGTCAACCATGATTCAGACAGCAGGAAGAATAAGAGTGCATGCAAAATGTGTGCATAGTAGAAATGGTATAGTATCAGTTTCCCACTCCCATGAAAAGTTTGCCAGCAATGGACAGAATGGATGAAAACAAAACCTTTTTCATCTAAGGTTAGTCATAAGAAAGTTGTGCAACACATAATACTTTGGTATACATTTACAGGAAAATGTAATGGCATTATAATAATCAAAGTGAAAAACACACAATTATAAATGAAATAATCTGTGAAGGCAAAAAATAACATCAGAAATGAAGAAAACTGGTCTTGACAAATACTACATAGAGAGTAAGTCCTCAGCAATTGGGTGGGGGTCCAATAGGAAAATATTGCAATTTCATAGGGGTCAGAACTGCAAAACCTCTGGTTTAGGAAGGTTTTGGAATATACGGTAATGTTTATGCATATCCCAGAAATGGCTGGAGTCATATGGACTTAATATCAGAGGGGTAAGGTCACTTTGTAAACATTACCAATACTTACACCTATGTCATTTGGAATAGAAAAGAATGAGAGACTCACACATATTACAGCCTTGATAATTAAAGGAAGAATAAGGAGGAATAACAATCACATGATTAGATGACTGTGTGGAACTATAAATATTACAAGAAGGCAACACATAATATTCAACAATAAATATGATAGGTTACAAAGAGCTAGAACAATGCATTGCATCATGGTTACTAAAGATTATTTGCTTCTAAACTGTTAGGTGGGAAAAATGATCCTGCTTCAGGATTGCTGTGAATTGTACATCTTCCGTCAGCAAGCCCTCTACCCTGTCTATTGCAACGGCAGTTCAATATGGACATAATGCCTCCTATACTTTGTAGTTAATGTAGTGCAGCTAGTGAACACAAAGACACCCATGCTTGATTCATTGTGGGTGTATCTTTGATTAGTGATTGTGGGCTTAAATATAAATAAATAAATACTATAAATACTCTCCCTTCCTACAGCTTGCTTATACCTAGAACTGTTGCTTCGAGTGTTCTCTGCTAGCACTGGCTCACCTTCGTTCTTCCCTGTCTTCATCTAGTCTTCTTTTTAAAGATTTACCTTCATCGCTGTCCTATTTACAACGTGTTTCTTATCTTATAATATGAAGGAACGCGATCCACAAATTTGGGTCGATTTCTTAAGCTGCAATCTTCGTTTCAAGCATTTTGATAAAATGAAGACTAGTTATCCTTATCTTATCGTCCGAGCACACAATGATACGAATTTAAATTAAATAAGTATCAACAAACGCATCAGTTAATAAAAAAAACAGCTTCCATCTTGAATCCAAACATTTTTTTCCATAGTAATTTAACTCATTCTAAACCATATACGCCACTCCTGCTAACAAAGATTTAAAACTCTTCCCTCCTAGACTCCAAAAGCTTTCAAATAAAAGCATAAAAAGGTATCAAACTAACCTTGTTTGCTATAAAATCGAGATAACTGGCTGATAGGTTTTCACGGACGCCATTTTACGAGACAACAATGGCGGGCGTTCGAGTCTGCGCTTTTGTTTACCTTTTTTGTTTTCCTTTTTTGGTTTATATTTACTAAATAGTGTATGAGTAATAAGTGTCATTTTCATAATGTTTAGCTTTGTTTTAAAATGAGGGATTTTTTTTTACCTTGCCTTTTTTTTTTGTAATTTTAGCATTCGATTTATTTCGTTTTTTACTACCCGAAAGGAAGTTAGGGGTACCAACATGACCAACATTTTTTTTTTTTATCTTAGGATATATTTAGAATTTAAAGGAATGAAAATTACCTGTGGTTTAGATTGAGATATATATGT